ATCTGAGGTATGCAAATCTGCTGTGACTTCTAAGCGAAGTTCAGAAGGAAGACGTTGCGGATTCCTCCGCCATCGATCAAATACAGCCGTTGCTTTTTGCTCTGACTGAATCACACGTTTTAGGACGCTAGGGCCGCATCCACTAAAACTAGGTTAGAGAGGTCTCCTGGTGAACGACGGCGCTACAATATTATCCAAACAAATTATTTCACGAATGAAGCGCCACTGTTCTAAATCGTGCATTCCAGACTCTTAAACATCGTTAGAAGGATGTTCTGGCACGCCATGTATGGAGACTGTGTTTAAGCGGTCTTGCTTGTTGTGCGGCACTTCGGCGTTGCCTTTTTGTTTTTCACGCGCTCCAGGGGACATCAGGATAGATGCATATGCCCTATGATCGGTGTTTTAGCGTGCTTCCGGAGATCAAAACGTTTTCTACCTCAGTGGAGTATTTTATTGTTAATCGAATAACTCTGGGTTCTCCATCGTATGGTGAATTCGGATGACTAGGAATTCGTATTAATTTTAAGGGCTTGGCTTTGACACCCATCTGCATGCACAATGAGTTCCATTGGTCTTAGTCGTCCGATAACTTACCCCGCAGTGTGATGGTTGTAGATTTAGGGACATCTGAGTATACAACAGCCCAGGCACGATCGTTGGATCCATTTTTCGTTTATCTAAAAGGTTGGGTACTCGTTTGTGACGCATGCTGACAAGCGTGGATTGTTTGCTGTTTGTCACTCTGTTCGGGTTAACATTGTTCAAAACAGATGTGGCCGCATGGACGTCTTCCCGGTTGACCTTTGCAGTCATATTTCCATATGTAACTGAGGTTTTGGGGCTTTGTCTCGACGGGAGACATTTGAGCTACAGTTACCGAGGGTTGGTGTTCGGCTGCTTCATTCTTGTTAATGCTAAATGCCAGATGTAGTGAAATCTGCTTAACCAGACATTTCAAGTGGTGCCTGGATTTCGTTGCCGTGAGTATTGTTTGACTCTCCTAGGTAGGGTCTCTTGTCGTCCGGCGCTCTGCGAAGAACGTACAAGACAACGGAAATGAGCACGTGGCTGTTTGCGGTTCTGGGAAGTAGCTTGTGCAGCGTTCCGTTGCTTAGAATCCGCTACGCCTCCGTAGTGTATAATCGCTTCCATTGAAATAATCTTATCTTTTGTCGTCTGCTGGGCTTCTGCGGTTAACCAGTGGCAGTTCTGAGCTAGGAGAAGCAAGCACTTAACGCATGGGATGGTGGAGCAGCAGTACAGATCCAAAGTGCATCTTGGGATTTACTTTGTTGTGACACATTTTGTTGTGTCACATTTTGTTGTGACACATTTGCACATTTCCCACGATACTTCAACTAACAAAGGCTGGCTTCATCAATAACCTCCTCGTGATACCAGCTGGGTTGTTCGGGATTTTCCCGTTCCAGCCAATGATTCGGCGGAATTGTTTCAGGAGGTGGTGAGTTTTCGCCTGACAAGCGTTCTCCCTATAAAAGCCACAGATATCCGTTTAACAACACCATGATGTGGGGGACGTGACTCGCCACTAAATAAATTCACTGCCCCTTGCTTCATCGTGGCGAAGTATTGTATTCCAGCAAGTTTATGCTGTAATTTTGGGGAGCATTCGGCCCCTGTTTGGCAAAGGAACAAACGAAGGCCTGGGAACTGACCAATCAGTCACCAGCTCCCAATGGGCGCGATTCCCTGAATTTGCTCCGCTGCGTTGCGGGCAGGCTATTAAGCCAAAGGTTCAGGGTGGTGTCCCCTAAGTCAACAGCCTACTTCTGCTTGGGCAGCCGCGTGGTATCACGTCATCTGACGAAACCATGAACTTTGATGTGTAGTGTTGTGTTTTCTTTTACTAATTCTGTACCTATTCTGAGTTCCATGGTTTCCCATGGCTCAAGGTCTATCCATAGACTCCTGCAATATTTATATATATATATATATGTAAACAAAACAGTGCGAGCAAGCCAGAGCAGTTTTAATTATTCGATGACATTCTCCTAACCCGCAAATGCGGCAGTCATTTGTGCCAGTCTCTTTAAAGTTATGCTGGTACTTCCAAAGACACTGTTAAACAAGTCATTCATGAACATGTAGATAAAGTATAGAGATGGATGCACCCAATTTACATGGGATTACAAGTTTATGCACGGACCTGGAAGCAGCATGCGTAACATTCCTAGCTGGGCACAAAAGCACCATAATACATGAAGTAATTCTTCTGGGAATTGTATGATAAATGGAAGTAAGGGCGTGAAGATGAACTTTTAAAGACATTGACTACAGTTTAGTGCATCTAAACAGCCATTATAACGCAATTGAATGTTATTAGTTTCCAACTTATGGCAATTAGGACGCAATATACCTCTTCCTTGAATTATCGAAATTGCATACTAAGAATTTATTAGCCGCAAAGGTCTGAAATAATGCTCTGACCTTGGTCGTCCTTAACTACGCGTGCTTTAAATATTTCGTAGCCGAAAGCTACTTCTTAAGCCAACGTGCGAGTTTGAGTTCAGTTGTACAAGTTAGGGATCGATTTATCGATAGAAGCTGTACCTACTGTACTTAAATGCAAATGCTCGTGACTTCATTCCCGTTTCAGATGTAAACATTCATGCTCCAAATGCTTCATTGCTTAATGTTCGCATCCGTTAGAATAGAGGTCATCGTTTGCGGAAGACGAGAGAGTCCATGGAGCGAAGCCGCCATGCAGTGCTCTCCGAGATGTGGGGAGGGTTGCTCAGCTATGTTAATCTGTGATGAATCATGGCCTTGTAACATCAGGATGATCACGCAGGAATGTATGGCATCGTCCTTGCGTTAATGTACTCGTCATACCTACTAACCCGTCGTAACAAATATGTTAACAAGAGCGACTAAACGCTATCCAAATGGTATAGCGCTGATCACACTAGAATGCCGGAGAGTTCATGGTTGCTTTTTGTGGATAATGATGGGGAGTAAGTGAAATAAAGGCAAAGGTGCGTGCCGGAGAAACGGTTGAATGTGTTCTGAAATCGAGTCATTGGTTCAAGTTACATAGTTAATTAACAGATCAATGAAGGAGGCTAAAATTTGACCATTGATCTGACAGGTCGATTGCATGTTATCGAGCTTGATCTGTGGTAATCGACCTCAGTATCGTTCGTTCTAGCTGGCCAGGGAAGCTATAAGGTATGGAGCAACTTCTTTTGCGAGCATAATGAAGGTTGAAACAACTGAATGCAAATCCATTCAGCTGTCGCGAGCGCACGGAGGCGCAAACCTCTTGATTGATGATGGGGGACCCTGTAACTTATCCTGAAGGCACGCTTTAGATCGACTTGATGCCCCGTGTCGACAATATGGGCCAAAACGGCGCTGCTAATGGCCCCAGTTCCTACTTGACACAACCTGCGCGGGCAGTGCTCCTTCACGCGTTTGGACAAGTGCCGTGCCGTTCCACCAATATAAGTAACGTCACAAACGCACTTGAACTGATAAATAACCATAGATGATGTCAGCAATGGCAGTGTATCCCTGTTGCGTGAACAAACAAGTGGTTCAGTAGAAAATGTGCACTTTAACCTGGCTGCTGGGAATGTCGACTTGACTACCGCTGAAAGACTTTTGGTTAGGCGCTCGGCAGCGGCATCACCCTTAAAAGGTATTCTTAATAATAGCTCCTTCTTCGCCGCGGTTTAAACTGGTACCGGCTTTGGCTTTTCTTCAAAATGCTTTAAAACGAATCTATCGGGATAGCCATTCTCGCTCCTCCAATGCCATGCAGGCACTTGCCATGCAGATGACAGCAGCCAGATGACAGCGCCAGGACTTCCCGGTTACGGCAGCTATGAATCGACATGGCATTTATGGAATCCGTAAGGGTGAATTTTGTTACTTATGAGTAGAAGGATTTTGGCGAGTATTTTTGTTCGTCGCGGTCAGCCAACAACTTTGATATGTCAACTACCTATCCGGAAAAGCACCAGACGGCCGTTTCGCCCTATTGTGGCTCATCAGTGGTGCTCATCCTTCGGTCCTCTACGTAAGATCGAACCTATGACTGCTAGTGGCTTGCGCCAACTAGCTCGCTGCTTATGCAACCGAGCAATGGAGAATGGCTATCCTGATAGATTCGTTTCAAAGCATTTTGAAGAAAAGCCAAAGCCGGTACCAGTTTTAACCGCGGCGAAGAAGGAGCTATTATTAAGAATACCTTTTAATGGTGATGCCGCTGCCGAGCGTCTAACCAAAAGTCTTTCAGCGGTAGTCAAGTCGACATTCCCAGCAGCCAGGTTAAAGTGCACATTTTCTACTGAACCACTTGTTTGTTCACGCAACAGGGATACACTGCCATTGCTGACATCATCTATGGTTATTTATCAGTTCAAGTGCGTTTGTGACGCTACTTATATTGGTGGAACGGCACGGCACTTGTCCAAACGCGTGAAGGAGCACTGCCCGCGCAGGTTGCGTCAAGGAGGAACTGGGGCCATTAGCAGCGCCGTTTTGGCCCATATTGTCGACACGGGGCATCAAGTCGATCTAAAGCGTGCCTTCAGGATAAGTTACAGGGTCCCCCATCATCAATCAAGAGGTTTGCGCCTCCGTGCGCTCGCGACAGCTGAATGGATTTGCATTCAGTTGTTTCAACCTTCATTATGCTCGCAAAAGAAGTTGCTCCATACCTTATAGCTTCCCTGGCCAGCTAGAACGAACGATACTGAGGTCGATTACCACAGATCAAGCTCGATAACATGCAATCGACCTGTCAGATCAATGGTCAAATTTTAGCCTCCTTCATTGATCTGTTAATTAACTATGTAACTTGAACCAATTAGTCGATTTCAGTTCATTATTTTACTCATAAATATGATTGTACTTGTCTAAAGAGAATCATCGAAAAAAATTTCACCTATGGTCTCGTGTTCTTTTGAGTCTAAATGTGATTTTTCAAGTTGCTTAAATGTGTTCTCTCAATCATTATTGTTGGTGCTCACCTGAAGAATGCGTAGTTGTTGTAGGCACGAGAGTAGTTGGCTTTGTGGTCCCATTAGTGCTGGTTGTAGTAGCTGAATGCAAACGAAGAAAAAGAGAGAAATGCAGTAACGGTTTTTCAAGCCATATCCCACCAACAAACTCCGCAATAATTATTTAATGCAACTCTATTTGACCTCCTTGTATTTCTTTCCATAACGACAGTACAAATCATGCATGTCATGATAAGAGGTTTCACCTTTAGCAATTCAGAAGTGTAGTGCTTAAATTCATTCGGATATCCTCTTTATTGCATTTGTACATTATCAATTATCATCTCCACAAAACCAGCTCGATGTCATATGCTGCGCCATTGATGTCGATGATTCCGAAATCAAGTAACTATTTAAGCAGCTTCTATGCGTAAACGCTTGTCAAATGATATGACGATGATCCAATTGTCCTACCAGTTTACGTCTTGAACTTTATTCAGCGCAACCAATGGATATTATATGCAGACCTCGTTGCGGCTACCAGCCGGACAACAGGCCTACGCAACATGCGAATCCATCTAGTCGTCAAAATCTAACCTTTTATAGCTCGTATTTTGCGAAAAGCTAATGCGGTTTAGTAGGCCGAACTTGTTGTTTCACTTTAGTACCGACAGTCCTAACCACTAAAGACCTGTGCCAAATTACTTCCCTGAACAAATGCCTTTAAAGAGTTCAGGCACGGTGAATACCCTTAATTTTCCTCAGACAACTGGAAGAAATGGACGGTAAATCAAAGGATTAGAAGCAGATTAATCAAACCTATGGCTCTATAGCAGCAAAAACCATTAAGCTGAATTAAACGTTGCAAGCTTTAACTTCGCAGACTTTCCTCGTTCCTAAAGGTACGTCTCGGTAACGGCAAATGTGTCAATCAGCATCTAATTTCTTGTCGACATTACTGAAAATGAAGGACGCATTTGAGGGAGTTTTCCATGTTATTAACATGTTTGATGCATAACCAAGTTTTGTGACTTACAGCCGTGTGGTTAATAGACGTTCATCTGCTAGAATATCGTGAAAATGCCTACTGTGGGCACATTAAACTGCATTTAAATCTGCTTTATAATTTTCAAATCCTGCTCAGTGGGGATCACTGTATAGAAACGTGGCATTATAGCCCAATTTTTATGGGTGGTAGTCGTACAGATCTAAAAACGAGCTCGCAGTCACTTTCCGCCATGCGCTGCCTCGCATGTGATGGAAGTGATTACTTTTGGGGCTGTAAAAGACTACCTGAAAATGCAAAATCTTGCAGCCGGAGGAACATGGCTTCCGTGAACACCGGTCATGCATCATGAACTTTTTGATGACACTATGTAGTTGGACGGAAGTTTCTGATGATTGGGTGAGAGTTGATGTCATTTAACTGGACTACCTCAATACTTTCGGCCGCTTGGATCACCGCATTCTACTTCACAGGCTAAAGGGCTTGGGAATCGGTGATCCTGTTCTTGCTTGAATTGGCAATTTTATTCACCAACGGAGGCTTCAAGTGCGTGTTAGGGATCATTCCCTAACCCGAGTGTGGTGGAATGTGGTGTGGCAAAGAGCTCGGTGATCGGTCCGCGCCTGTACCTTGTGTTTGTCAACTAGCTGGAAAGAGTCAGCTCCTCAGATTTCATGCTTTCCACCGATTATGGCAAGATGTGGTGGGCGATTACTAACAAGGAAGATCACGATCTACTCTAACATGACCTAGATTGCTTTTCTAAAAGGTCAATTAGGAATCAACTTTAGTTGAACACAGCTAAGTGTAAGGTGATCCATCTGCGTCACCAACCGGTGAGGGTTTAGAAGCTTGGAGACCACACCTTGCAGAGGACGTCTCATGAGCCTGACCTGGGTGTAATGGTACAGGAATGTTACGTCCGTCGATAAAATTGATTGGTTAGTTCAGTCACACAGCGTTCCTATTAGTATCATCCTGTTGACCAATCAATATTTCTACACGTTTTCATTTAAATCAGGGTCATGTGATCCATGTGCGCATTTTTACCCCGATGCACTCTGCTTCCTCTGTGTCTTTTTCTGCCTAACTGCTGTCTGGGTGCGTGTTTTTGACTACCTTACTTGGTAATATTAATCATTAATCCACTGCTAACTTTTGGTCTTCCTCTGAGAACAAAGCAAACTCATCAAACTGTATGAGGTGGAAGAAATCATTCATTAATCATTTATTAACTACTAGGAACAGCCGCATGGTTTGAATCCCATGATTTCACTTTCGGAGTCCCACAAAATAAGGCTATTCAGACAAATGCTCCAAAGTAAACATCAGCCGAAAATGTGGTAAATTAAGCCACCTACTACGCCTGTGCTGATCGGAAACCGCCCCACTGCCTAATCTCAATCAACCGAGGCGCCATAATAAGCTGCCGCTTGCGGATTAAAAGGTGCTGCGATACCCGGACAACGATCTAAATTCCTTCTATCACCCAACAAGTGCCCTCCATATACGATTCGTTCGATGATGGAAACTGAACCGATCGAATTGGAACTCGATACGGGGTTGGAGTTGCCATTATAAGCAGTGATTCAATGAAGATTCTGCTGCACTTACAACCTCGTGACTCCAAATGGTAAAGGTGCACTGGAGATCAGATTAGGGTCTTGGGAAACTACGTGGTTGAACTTAGGCACCGCGAGTGGGAATGCACTCCAACTTTGATCGTGGTACCAGGGTAAAGACCAGAGCTCTTGGGGAGAAATTGGATCTGATACTCCCTAGAAACGATGCAGCTAAATTAGTTCGTCATAAATGACAGCAGACTAAATCAGTTTCCCTCTTTATTCGAAAATAAGTTAGGTAAGCTGAAATATTTCAAACCTTCAAACAACATGTTGCCAAGTTTTACTAACCATGAAAGCATGAAGGCTAACGTTCCCGAGAGCATCCATAGTAACGTCAGGTTAAATTTCATTGCATGTCAGAGATATTTTATTTGTTTTACTCTATTGATGATTGCATGAAAAAATGTTTATAAGGCGAAGTGTACCACGTAATGTGGTATTGATACTATGACGATGGAACAACTTCCAGCAACCGTTATTTTGATAGAACGAAACGCGTTTAACGCCTCTGTACTCTACACATCATATTGGTATCATGTCTTCCTATACATTCGAATGGTATGATCAAAGGTTTTATCAAATAAACTGGCGGTCCACTCGGACTCACCCTGACTGTGGCTGATTTCCAACTGTACGATTGAAATGAATAAAATGAGAAGAACCGTTCGTATTTTCATCACCATGCTAGTCTACAGCACAAACGTTGCCCCACTTGTTCCGTGAATGTTGTGGACACTTTGAAATAAATGAGAATATCTGTAGCTCGGGGTGTGGATGCGGATTTTGAGCAGTTCTCCGAGCTGGGTAATTATTTTGCAAACGTTTCGTTGCCTGACTAGGCAACATCATCAGTGCGAACCAGGCCCCTGAAGCCGCACTGACGATGTTGCCTAGTCAGGCAACGAAACGTCTGCAAAATAATTACCCAGCTCGGAGAACTGCTCAAAATCCGTTGTGGACACTTGTTTATATAGGTGTATCACGGTCTTGGCTTAGGCTGGCTGAGAATAGTTGAAGTGGTAAATGTTGCTCAAACAATAGCTCACTTGAGTGAAGAATCTTCCGTAAAACAACCGGGGCTGGTCAGTACACGCAATTTCTTAGTTTTGTACCCACTAATTACAAGAGAAAAAAAGGCAAGCGTTCCTGCCTTTTAACTGCAAACGAAACCAATGAGAGTCGGGGAACTGCGATTCTGAATTCTCCACGGCTTCGCATTGTAAGTCGCTTTGGTAATACAGGATTACCCCTCATTCTTTTGTGAGCCTGTCGTTCCGGATCAGCAATACACCGGTAGGGAAACTTCAGTGTGCATCATTCCCGTATACAACCACGGCTCGGTGATACCAATAACATCGTATGACCCGGAAGCTTAGCGAACTTCAGTTTGAACAGTTAAATAAGAAGAACATGAACATCGTATACAAGCAGGCCAGTTTCTCGGTCTCTAAGAACACACAGAAGGGTGCATGTGTCAACGGTGGGAGAATTTTGACCGATGGGAGGTCGGCAGTTACTCATCTTTTGATGGGATTATAATACCTGTCTGCAACTTGATTCGGCCAAGGTGCGTCCCAACCTTCGTTTAGACCTACGTGAGGGTCAATTAAAGCAGCAATCAAGTTACGCTTCTGTGCATTCGTCGGCATGCTTGCTGCTTCAGTTGCTATTGTATCTGAGGTATGCAAATCTGCTGTGACTTCTAAGCGAAGTTCAGAAGGAAGACGTTGCGGATTCCTCCGCCATCGATCAAAAACAGCCGTTGCTTGTTGCTGTGACTGAATCACAAGTTTTAGGATGCTAGGGCCGCATCCTCTATAACTCGATGAGAGAGCTCTCTTGGTGAACGATAGCGCTTCAATATTATCTAACGAATGTATTTCACGAATGTAGCGCCACCGTTCTGAATCATGCTTTGCGGTCTCTTGAACCTCGTTGAAATGATGTTCTGGCACGCCATGTATGAAGCTTGGGTTTATGCGGTCTTGCTTGCTGTGCCCATCTTCGGCGTTGCTTTTTGTTTGTCGCGCGCTCCAGCGGACACCAGGATAGAAGCGTACGCCACATGATCCGTGTTTTAGCGTGCTTGCAGAGAATAAAGCGTATTCTAGGTCGGTGGTGTATTTTATTGTTACTCGAATAAGTGTGGATTCTCCATAGTGTGGCTAATTCGGATGACGTGTAATTCGTAATAAGTTTATGGGATGGTCTTTGACACTCATCTGCACACACAATGAGCATACAACAACCCAGGCACTATCGTTAGATCCATTTTTCGTTGATCTAGAATTTTGGGTCCTCTTTTGTCCGGACCTGCTGACAAGTGTGGATTGTTTACTGTTTGTCCCTCTCTTCGGATTAACGTTGTTTACAACAGATGTGGCCGCATGGGCGTCCTCCCGGTGGAGCTTTGCAGTCATATTTGCATATGTAACTGATGTTCTGGGGGGGCTTTGTCTCGACAAAATCAT